GGGGGGGGGGGGGGCTTGGAGCGCCGCGCGGAAAGGAGGGACTCACACAACCCGCTTGGCGCTTGAAACTATGATGCGGCTGCCCCCAGACGGCGCCGCACGCCCCCCGACAGCCCCTAGCACAGGCGCGCGCCCGACAGGGCTCTGGGCGGCATGCAGCCGAAAGCCGCGGGCGGCCACGCCGCGTGTGCTGCCGCGGCCGCTCAAGCCATGAAGGCGCCCGGCTGGCCGGGCTGCAGCGCCTGGGCCTGGTGTGTCATGCTCTCGCACATGCGCAGCGCGCGCACGCAGCGCGCGCAGCGGCTGCGCGCGGCGCCGGCGACGTCGACGACCCCGCTGATGCCGGGGCTGGGCGCGCCGCCGTGCACGCACTCCGACAGCACGAGCTGCTCCGTGGCGCAGCTGCGGGCCTGGAGGACAGATATGATGGAGCGCAGCATCGAGTCCAGCAGCGACGGCGCGGCGGCGGCGCCGTTGGCGGCGGCGGGCGCTGCCGCGGCTGTTGGGGCACATACAAAAGGGAGGCGCAACGGGGTGAGCGGGCAGCCGTTCATTGCATGGCGATCATCCTGTGCATGATGCGCTCAACGCGACCGCAATCAACCTCACACAAGGGGGTCGCTGGTGGGGTTGCTTATGCTTGCGCTTGCGTCGCCCTGCCAAGGCCGTGACCAAGCATCAGTGTGACGCGTCCGGATCGGCCCACGGCGCATCCCGTGCGCCCCCTCGAGTACAACTCAAAGTCACTCACAAACGGAGAGCTCTTTCATGGGCGGACAAGACGACAAGGAAGGCGCGCTCATCCCGGCGCTTGCCGAGGAGGACATCCGCGTCACAGCGGCTGCTCGGGTGGGCATGACGGCTGTCCTATGTCTTGTGTCTAACAAGCTTGTTTGGCTGCAGCGACGGGCTATCAGGCGGCTTGTGATGGGATCGAAAGGTGTACGCGGCCTACAGGAGCGTATATGCAAGGCCCTCGGAAGCATGCAGACTTCAGAAGCCCACACGAATGTTTATGGCCAGCGACGAGCGTTGCGCCCGCTTCATGAGTTTGGAGCGAGGTTTGGAGTGAGACGCGGGTGCCTCATGGTCGACTCGGCTTGCAGCGGGTGGGACGCTTGCAATGCAGGTGTTGTGTCGGTATGCTGTGTGATGCATCATTCTACATACAGCGGTCAACAGCCTCCAAGGGTCGATAAAAGCTAGATCACCACCTGATCAGCTAGGGATGCGTCGCGACGCCGGTGCGGCCCTGCCGCAGAGCGCAACGTCTGCCAAGGTGTGGAAACCCTACATGTGATGAAAAATTGCGATGTTAAACTCTGCTTGGATGGCTGTCGCCGCCAGCAGCACACACAACCCGGGCAAGCGGCGACACCCCAGGCTCGGGCTGCTGCTTCGATCGGACACACCTCGACCTGCTGCAACAACGAGCGGCTTCCTGTAAGGTGGCATTGCTGCACAAACGCGGCTGCTACACTGCCTGCATTCCGCCGTTCTCAGGGCGGCGCACCCACCTGTCCCGTGCGATCCCCCAGGCTGACCCCCGCCAGGATCCCCGAGCCCACCCCAAGGTGCGTCGCCATGTTGCTTGGCGAGCCTATTTTGATCATATTGAGCTGGATTCTCAGCGCAGCAAATTGAAGCGCCCTCCTGCCCTGATGGACCGCCCCAAACGTGGGGTGTGGATAAGGCAGCTGCAGCCTGGCAGTGCAGTGCAGGCGGTGGCGCTGCGCATTGGGCAGGCCTGGCAAGGGGGTAGGTGCCATGCGATGTGGGGTGACGCTTTTGAAACCCACGAGAAGCTGCGCCGCTCTCCATCCAATTGCGTCATAGGCACTGACCCCTGCCCCAGGTCCGCAACCCCATGCAAATATCTGCTGCCCACCCTTCATACCCCTTGCAACACACCGCTGCCCCTGCCAACCCACCGCCCTTTCCCCCGTCACACCATCAGGACCACATCATTCGAGCCCACGGCCGGCACGCGGCCGGTGACGCCACTTTTGTCGCCCTCAACCTCGCGCTTTGGGGCGTGGACGCCGCGGCCTTCAGGCGCTTCTGGCTCCCTGGATCCCCTGATGCGCTGCCAAACGTCCAGCTGCTGTTGGGGATGGTGCGGGGGGCCACAAGCCGTTACGTGACGCCGCTTGTCGACCTCAGACGCGCATTGTTTCCTGCGTGCGGCCCGCATATCCGGGCAAGGCCCCCACCCCGCCCTCGCAGCGTGCGCACGTTCAGTGCTGGGCCGCAGCCGGCAGTTACTGCCACCCCCGCGGGAGCTCCTGGGGCGGCAGGCAGGGAGGACGGGAGAGACGGGCGCTGCCGTCTGGCTTAAGCGGCCTGCGCTTACGGGGTATCCCCTGCCTATCACCCACCCCACCGCACACCCAGCCCCTCTCGCTCCCCCCCCCCCCCTGGATGCATTGCAGGACCTAGTGCGGGCGCTGCGCCAGATATTCTGGAAGCTTGTCATGTGGGTAGCCGGCCGCACTACCACATGGCATGCGGCATGCATTTTTTTGTGCAGCCGTGTCACGACGAGCTGCACCCTGTTGATGGTGGCGCTGCCCTGCAATTGCTCACGCGACGGTGCGCCCAGATGCAGGGGGTGCAGCGCCAGGCTGCTGCGCCCAGCTGCATCATGTGCTGCGCACGCCTCCACCCGAAGCTGCGCCCATGGGCACCGCTTGCTTGTCCCCTCCAGTTGCAAGTGGGTGAGCCACGACCGGCCAAACATCGCCCCCACTCATCACC